GAATCCGCATATTTTACAAATTTACCATATCATCAAAAAAACACAACTTTTCTGAAGACAGTAATATTATGAATCAATTAAATAGCGTTGTAACGGAATTTGAAAACAAAATGTTTTCAATTTTTATATTGTAATTTCTCTGAAAATGACAGTTTTTGGCAGCCGATGATTGATCAATCATGATATGAAATACTAATGCACCAAAAATCACTGTCAAGTGTGCTCGGGCATATAGGTTTTTCCAATAGTCTTTTCGGTTGTTTTGGTTATGTTTTTATTAGGTTTTGCTATTGCTATTAGATTTAAATTTATTTATTTTTTATTAATGTTAGATTTTAAAAATGAATGTTTTGAATTAAAGGTGTCAACAGTCGCAAGCTTTATTAAATTTTATTTACTAAAGCAGCTAAAAATAAAAACATGAAAATAGCTCACGTTGGACAGACCCCAGGGATTTTCCCGTGTAAATCCGGTATGACTTATGGAATTGAGATCATTTCTCGATTATTTGCAGGGTGTTTGGTTTGAACCGGTAAAAATTTGAGAGCCAAATGAACAACAAAATTGATGACAGCAAATAATCCGGGACGGAAAGGCTACAATAAATTCCACAATTTTTGTGACAGCACAACAGTCCCTTCGCGATTTTCGCGACATCATTTAATGTTTCCGCGAAATACGCGAAAGTTCAAGTCCGCGACAAATCCGCGAAAATCGCGAAATCCGCGCCTGTTGTAACAGCCCTGAACATGTAAGAAAGTGCTTAAGGCATGTCAACTAGGGTTCTTCGTTTTGAAATAGTGGTTAATGTCTTATAGGCCACCATCCAGTATGGTTTTAAATTTGTATGGGAAATTCTCCTAGTAATCAGACTTATATTAAAATCACTTATCGCGCTAGCTTAGGTTCTACTGGTCCTAATGTTTTTTTAATACTTTATTATAGAGATTTTTAGCCGTAGGCTAGCTCATATCTTACTGGTCCAAATGTGTAATATGATAAAACAGCGAAAAAGTTTATCTTCCATTTAATTCCACTTGAATATTTTTCGTATCCATGACAGACACGTATTTCGACTACGAATTAAATGGAAGATAACCGTTTTTCGCTGTTTTATTTAAGCATTCCGCTAACAAACCAATTTCATTACTTCACAGTGTAATATGATGTTGCTATGACAATGGACAAAAAGTCTGTTGTTCTTACGATCAGTTTTTAAGCATATAGAGATAAATAGAAATGCAAAAAAATGACAATCACATAACATTTTTTTTTCATCGTTTGGATAACTAAAATTATAGTTAGAGCAATGTAAGTGAAATTCAATATTTTTCCATATACCCTACTACTATTATATCATTTTCACTTTTACTAATCCACTATTCACTTTTACTATTTACTTTCCCTATCATAAAAAAAACTATAATCGATACGTATTTTGTTTACTACAAATAACTTCTTCAGTCATAGGAAACGAAATACGTATCTGTTATAGTTTTTTAAGTGATAGTGAAATTAAATCCTATAAGTCAATAGTGAATTAGAGAAAATGAAAGTGATACAATAGCAATAGAAATAAAAGGAAAAACAATGTAATAAGGAACACAATAGGTATCCTCTAAACCTTCATCAATCTTTGTCATTTCTTGCATAGACTCATAAATTTGCGTATTGAATTGAAATTTAAAACTTTTTTCAAAATGAAGCACTCTAATGTCGACGATAGTAGCAATGGCTGCTTATGACTTCGGATACTTCATTGCAAGCAGAAGACGACCAACCTTTAAATAATCTATGCAAATGTTGCCAGCAGCAAGCAAGCAACCGATTTAACTTCTATCAAACCGTGATTTGGGTTTAGAAGCAATAGAATAAAAGCATGGTTGATTTTTGCAACAGATGTTGCTAGTTAAAAAAAAAAACTTACGATGTATTATTTTGTACGCAAACTTTGTCCGAAAAATAAGATAACACAAAAATTACAAAATTATCTTAAAAACCTCATATAAACATACAAGTGCTGCTAGCGTAGTGTGATTATGCCTACTTTGTCCATAAAAGGATATCAATCCCATGTGGAAAACAGCAAACCAAGAAAATCACTGTTGAAAATATATCTGTCCGTAGCCACCTCTGGATGTCACCGGAGTTTACAATCGATATTAATGGATAACTCCATTAAGATCAAAATTAATGTGGGACTGTTATGCTTTTATAGGTAGTGTTGTTCTATTGTAAATAAACAGAAATAAAATCAATAACAAAATAAAGCAGTTTTGTAAATTAATTATGGAAACATAAACAAATTCAATTAATTGGAAGGTTGACATACATGCTCAAGTTGCGTAAGTCAATCATATACAACTTGACGTATTGCCCCGTAACGTGGGTAGATCACCTTTTCGTGGTACGTTACGGGATGTAAGATCTACCACCGAATCCTAGTCCTGACTACTTCAAACTAGTGGAACAAGATTTTTCAGTAATCCAAGGAATGCATCTTAGTCCTTGTTACTTTTTATTTCTTGTTGACAATTGACAATTGACAATACTCAGCTTTGTCCACCAAGGATGAACTTGAAACAAGGAAAACAATTAGTTGGTAAGTCTTCATCTGAGTGATTTCTAAACTTCTATTCACTGTTCTCTAGTTTGAAGTGGTTTAGACTAGAGCTCTGATGCATGGTCATTATCGGTATCATTGCTTAATTTTGTTGCTAAGGAATCCAGTGTTGACTGACAAAGGGGTGTGCCTTTGGAGGGTGCTTTCACTTTTCGAAAGGTATAACTAGCGGACCTTTTAATTAGAATCGATTCCTGGCGATGAAGGCAAGAATGACATCAATACTTCATCATTTCTCCTAAGTGATGGAGTAATACGACATGCACCAAACTAAGGAAACGGGATAAGCTACAATAGATCAAATTACTGATCACAGTGGTTTTAGACTTATGTTATATGTTTACCTCACTTCTAGCGCTTTTTTCGTTATAAATGCGTTGTAAATAAGTAGCTAGATGAAAAGTTTGACTACCAAGCTGGTCATAAATTAGTTATGTAAACTCGTGTATGACAAACTGTGTTGCTCGTCAACTCCGCTTAAAATTCTACGTAGCTTAGAAAGAGCCCCTTATATTTATAAAGCTAACACATTTTGAAAATATATTTTAGCTTTATTCTTTATCAGAACTTCCAGGACACCAAAATTAAATAAGCAACTCCAAAAAAGTGTCGATGTTTTGGCAACTTTGGTGAAGTTCTTTCTTGATTGAATCAAACTTCCCATGATAATCCACCAAATCACATGGTGACATTGAAGCTCATAGGATGTGATATATTTTTATTCAAATGAATAGCTAAATCAAATGATACGCATGGAAAGGTACATGAACAATTATCCTTAGAAGATACTTTTTTTTTTTGCGTTTTGTTAAAAAAGCGAGAAGCGTGGCACTAGACTTGCCCACAAAAATAAAAGTTCAATTTTTTCCAATTGTTGTGCCTTTAAGTGCGAAAACCATTCTCTGAAAGTTTCAGCTCATTTAGTTATAGGATGAGCTGGCGCTTTTAGTTTGAATTTTTTATGGGGAATTAGGATAAAATACATGTAAAAAAATTACACTCCTACACTCTATCGATCATAAAAAAGTTTCCTTATCCTCGATTTGGTTCAGATTTTCATAACTCGTAGTTCAGTTATTGAGTAACAACTTTGCTGAAAATTGCATCATGAATTCAGTTAGTTGTATTGAGATATTCGCTTTGAATGTATATGATCAATTTGTATATAAAAATTTCATCTAGATCTCCTATATGAACATTAAATCAAAAAGAGCTAAAGCGTTAAGAGAGTGGATATCGCACCAAAAGATATGATCCTGGATGTTGGCCTGTGGAAAATATGAACTTTTATGTTTAGTGCTAATCTAGTTCATCTAGTGGTTGCAATAAACGAGAAGAATGCACATAATTAATTAATATCTCCATAATTCTAACTTTAATCGTGATGCTATCTTGCACAAAGTTGTTCCTGATAATTTAAGCTTCGCGTGCTGAAATTCTGAGCTTAATCGAGTTTGCTGAACCAGTTCTAACGAAAAAGTGAAGGAATGGTATTTCTCCATACATTTCAACCAACCCAAGTAGCAACTTGTTTATAACTGAAATAAGTCGTATATAAGTTTCCAATACCAATTTATAACAAGGGCGCTACTAGGGAATAACCCCATATAAATTTAAAATCAAAAGCGCCAGTTCGTGTTGAATCCGAAAAAAAAGAAATTTTCAGGGAGTGGTTTCCTCACAAAATGGCACAAATCTAGAGGTTGGCCCGTTGAAAAAATGATAAACATTTCCTCCATATAAATGTGGGCCAGTCTAGCATGCCACATTACGCCATACGTGGCGAGTTTGATTCCCGGCTCGCTAAGCTAATATTTGCGATTCGAAAATCTCCCAACTTCCTTGAATATATTTATATTAATGCAATAACTGTTATAGGCTACCACCGTTCGAAACATTATGTAAATGTATGCGATTTATAGCTATGTCAGAAATGTTTACGATATATGACGTTAATCAATAGTATTGCAAACGAGCTTCTAAACAATCGTAAAAAATAATTACACCAGGAACATTTTAAGTGACAGTTCAAATAAATGTTTTTTTTTTTTCAAGAGGCATTCAATTGAACTCATAGACATACCTCACAGATATTCCTTTTGGTACTCATTTAAAATTAACGTGCACACTTTTATTATGCATGATAGAACGGGTTGTACTTTTGAAATCACAATTATTTTTGTTTAACAATTTCCATGCGAATCACTTAACTTCAGCTTTCCGTGCATTAATTACAACTGAGGTTCAACCGTTCGCTTACATGTGTACATATTGTATTAATGTCTAATGTGTGGTGGCGCGTAAAGGAAGTGATTACACCTCTTCTACCATGCATGATGCAGATATGATTGAAACGGCCTAAAGGCGCGATACTTACTGTTGCGTCGTCCTTCCTTGACCCGGTAGGTGAGATTGTGAAAGGCCAGATCCACGGCTGGCCGCGTCGGTAGATGGGACAAGGTTTTCGGCTGGGACGGGACAATCTGCACTCGGACGGCGCCATTTTTCCTGTTGTCATCGAGTAAATTATTAGTGACACTGCTACTACTTTCATTTGCTTCCGACATGGTTTTTCTTCTTTGGATTTTCTCTTGCTTTTCTGTGCTTTGGTTCACAACATTCACGGGCAATTATCTGTATGGGTACGAAGCAATTTCGTTTACTATTACATATATTTACACTTCCACTCGTTTACTCGTTTACGATTCTCTGCATATCCGTTCAACAACACCAATTGTAAATTTCGACAATCAGCATTAAATTTTCAGAACCCAATCAAACACATGAACACCCCTAACTAGACGACGGTGACGAATCTTGCTCCTTAGCGGAATTATCTCGCGAGAAGAAAAGTCACTTGACTCATCCAAGTCTACAAGCGCATACGACACGACCTTCTTGTCCGGTTTTATTCTCTTGTTTCGGATTTCGGAACGCGGAGCTAGAACAGCCTGTAGACACTGCTGTCCAAAGAACGACTGAATGCGTGTTGTACGATATAATATTTTTGCCTCGACGACTACGACGACAAAGGCGATGACGACGGGCTAAAAATATATGAAAACATATGCGCGCATTAGGCTGACTGTAGAGTGTCCGTCACCACACTTGGTCGCGCATACAAACGCCACCCGATCCAAAGCGATGCGATGATGGCAATGTGTTTGGGGGGAACACGGGGTCATTTTTTATCTTGGGGCTGTAGTGACTTCTACACGCTAACAAATATCATGGTTGTTTAGTGTTGCTTTTGCTGGTACTGTTGTTGTTACTAACTACTAATACTACTACTTCGAGGTAAGGTGTACGAGTGAGATACAATATTTACGGTAGGTAACGGTGTATAAGCGGAACACGAGCTTATTTCCTTATGCCAAACCACAGTGGGTTGGAATGAGCGGATTCAAGCGCCATGTGCTCGTGATATTGTTCGATGAATAAATCAATCATCTTTATCGTATTCATTCCATTAGCAGTCGCTTCTTCGTTTAAGAATATTGAGTTTACTTGTGAATTAAAAACATAAGCCCTTTTCCTTTAAAAAAAAAAACAATTGAAAACTATTGGATCTTTAGTTTAGTGCATAGTATTTTTTTTTTTACTACTTATACCTTCAAATACGTGCTCTTATTAAAATCTAAACTCAATAAACAGGAGTAATACTGTGGCAAAGGGTAATACTGTGAAGCATCATTATCGTAGCCTTGACATTTATTGATTTCGAAATCACCTGCTGCAAAGCTGGATTTATCTATTAAGCTGCCGGTGGACGCAATTTTGGACTGTACGCAGTATCAAGGAATATGCTGATTATGCTTTGTCGCCTCATTATGCAGTGCAGATCATCTGGATGGAAAGGGATGAACGCAGTTTTATTCGGTACGCTGTTTGATAACTTTCCGTAGAATATTCCAGTAAATTATTCTTACTATGCAAGCTTTTGCAGACTTATCAATTTTGAAACACTTCGTCACAGACGTAGTAAACTTCAGAGTCTGATTTCTTTGACCTTGCCAAGACTGCCTTTGAAGTTTTCAAACTGTTCCATTACACTAGAATTACTTGACAGTCACTTAATGATCAGATATTTGCACTGTTCTTAAAAAAAAAACAGAAAAATATCATGACCTGATATGTTAATCGTATTCCACCGTAGCAATCTGCTCCCTTCGTGCTTCTGAAAACAATGACTGGTAGAAGTCGGTTCAGAGTACCTAATCTATATCGGTACTAGACGATTAAATCGGCATCACGTGGTAATCGCGATCCGACACTCTGATAAACCGTCATTATCGTGAAACGATTCCGTGATTTGCTCAATTCTACCTCACTGTACACTGCATGTGGATCCGCTTGTTTGTTCATGGCAAAAGTTTCCAATGACTAACGGCTGTAATTATCGCGACTGGGTGTAGGTAATCCAAATTGCGTAAAGCAAAATTTCGTTACATAAAGGATGTCAAAGCGTTCAATCGTTTGCCTAGTGGATTTCGTAAATCACTCTATAGAACGCACCTTCCTCTTCCTTTCTTCCTTTCTCTAAAATCGGAACCGCAGTATACGCTGCCGATTATAGTCTAACCACAACTAGGTTAAACGTTCTCTCTATCACTGAGCCATGTAACTACCGATCATGCAGTATGAGGTACTTGATCGTGGTTTGCCTTTTATTGATAGATCAAACAGTTTGTGTAACCATCGCACATGAACTAGACGGCCTTCAAATGCAACTTTTTCTAACGAGTTTCAAACCATGAATGGCTAACCCTTACCCCTAACAACATCTCGCCTTATTTACAGACGATGTTCTAACAGAGTCAAGTTTTTTTCTATATGGCAAATCGGTTGTCGGTGGCACATTTGCAACATAGCCGAAGTCATTAACCGCGACTGTAAACCGCGACGAGATGCACTTATTAGTGTACACAGATATGCGCGCACCTTGTTTTAGCTTTCAATTGAATTTTTTCACTGGCAACCGCAGGAACAGATGAACATACAGGGCCAGAGAGCAAGTAAAACCAGTTTCATGAGTCTATTGGAAACTTGAACACTAGTGAATCGCTTGCACGTTTAAGACAGTGATTACGTGGCTTACGATGACTGTTGGATTCTACTAAACGACATCAACCTTTGAAAAGAGCGAAACATTTTTTTTGTTATCAAAGGCATCAGTCGTTGAATTTTAGCGTATTTATGCCCACGCGAACCAACAGGTATCTTCACTACTAGTTGGTACTCTGACTCTGTTAGTTTTGTTTCAATCAAGTTAAGCTGTTGTTATGTATTATCGAGATTTTCCCTATCATTGTGCTCACATTTCATTACGGCACATGACTTGAGAATTCTAGTTGAATACATGCTCTGGTGCTTATTTACGAACTAGTGGAGACAGTAGCGTCATCCTGATGATGAAAGGGATCCTTTCTTTTCAAAACTTAGTATTTTTGAAACAATTCTACAGTTATTAATTGCGAGCTTCTATGCCAACCAATTTCTATATTGTATCTATCAGGGTTGTTAATCGATAACTCGATAACGTCTTTTCGTTAACGTCTGCAATGGAAAATTATCATAGCAAACGTTAACGAAAAGACGTTATCGGGTTTCGATTAACAACCCTGGTATCTATTATATAATGGATACATATGATTTTATATTTCCCTATCAAAAAATACTTCAAGTATCTGATACTTTGAAAGTTTTTAGAACTCTGCTGGTATGGAAAATTTTCAAGACCTGTAGCTAAATTCCTTGCATAAATTTCATCGAAAAGAAATAAATTTCTTCATATACCTCCGGGCAGAAATTTCATTCTCTTCGATGAAAATTATGCCCGAAATTCAGTTGCTGGATCGTAGATATTTTTTTATTTATTTTTTTCTAAATCCTAAACTTTGACAAATGTTCGTAGTAGTCCTTGAGAGTTATATTATTTTAACCAATATTATTGGTGAAATTGTGGAGTAATTATTCATTTGGGCCAGTGAACCATTCGGTCCAACAGCACTCGGTCTAAGGGCGTTAAGCATAGCTCAGTTTGGCCTGAAGACCCATCACAAGAACCTGCTATGCCCTTGGATGTTATATCAACAGCGGTCCAGATATTGAAATTAGAAGAAAATACCCAAGTAACCATAGGCACGTTATTTCGCCTTTTTGGCTATATACGGGCCTCATCAGAACTTGCAAATACTGGTATAGCCGTTGATCAGCTGCACCTTGCCATAAAGGCGAAAAAACGTGCCTATGGTTACTTGGGTAAATACTTTGACCCAGAAAATGCATCTTAACCACCAGCATAGCTTCTTCTTTGAAGTTGACGTTTATAATAAAGCCTTCATTTTGATGGAAATTGAAAATAAAGTGGACCTTAAAATAATAATATTGAACTTTGTTATTTCTGATTACATTATAATGAAACCTTCTACAAAGTTATCTTATCTTTATCTTATGTTTCTTTATTAAAGAGACTTTCAGCCATCGGCTGGTTCATCTCTGTTCTACGAAGTTGCAGGTATCATAATTTAAAGAACCCATAAAAAAGAACCATAGAGGTACAATGAAATGTATTTTAACCATACAATAGAAATTATTGTACTTATAATAAATCATATTGTCTACAATGATAAAATAACCATAGAATGTATTGTTTCCAGAAAGGTTGTTATGTATCTTAACCATACAAAAAATCACTTTTTCCCGAACAAAAATTTGCCATTTACCATTAATTGTATTGTTGTTCTATTATTGAAAATTCTTACTTTATGGGAAACATTGTAAATCTATTGTAATAATAACATGTTAAAATTTCTTGTATATATAAATAAGATCGATTGTTGGCAATAGATTTTGATGTAATTGTATTTTATTTTATGGAAATTGTATGGTTATTTTTTTCCGGGTAGCTTTGATGAAGAATTGATAGTTGTAAAACTTATGATTATTTTTCTATAGCAATTTTTATTACTTAAGAGAGAATGTCCAGAAAAGTAATAGTTTTTATAGCATAACCCTTTTATTTAAAATTATACGAGAGAGACGTCTTTCACATCTTTTTACTACTCATTATTGCTGAAGGAAGTGTCTCGTTTAATAAGTCAATAAAAAAAACGACCAATTAGTTTGCGTTGCCGAGCTAAGAGTTTCGGAAAACTGATGTTTGAATATTTATATGCAAAAGCAGGTACGTCTTTTTGAAAAATCATTCTTGAGTTGAACCTTTGCTAAAAAATAGCTCATGAGAGGATGATTGGGAAATTTTGCAATTTGTCATAGGATTATGAATTATACCTATCGTATTTTTGCCTAACGCCCATTTTCTTAACGGCCTACGGGGCCGTTCATAATCTACACAGACCGAAATTTTATACTTTTTAACCCCTCACTCCTCCCTCCGAAACTACAGTAGATTTTTTAGAATCCCTTCACCCACTGCCCTAAAGCAAAGACATCATATCAAGAAGACTGGCAACTCTTCCAGAATCCAAGCGACAAATACACTAGCGCTGCGCTTGAGTGAAGGTGGTGGCAACGCATAGAAAAATGAGCAAATACACAATCATTTCTTCTGAGGATGTAATCTTTGCTATCAAATTCGTTCGAAGCATTTACCTTTGAGCGGCAGATGCCGTGATCGTACCTGTCTCATAGCGTTCGTATAAAAGAATGGTAGAGTAGCCAGTCTTCTTGATTTTTTGTCTTCGCCTAAATTCTACATATACTTTCATAATTGATCAATTTAGATGGTCGAGTTTTGAATCCACCCCAGCATGCTTTAGGGGCTACTGTATATGTACGATCAAATGTAAAATACAGTAACCACAGCATGTGTCCGAAATGGACATTACAAGTTTGTTTATAAAAGCTGATGGACCCTTTCAAATGCTCCGCAAGATTTGTTCATCTGGCTTCTTTGCTGGCTTCCACAAAACTTACGATCAGATCAGTAATATTGTTGGTTTTGTTTAGTGAAAACATTTAATCTTGATACGATG